CCGCCGGGGCAGGGGCACCCCCCCCCCCCCCCCCCTCACGGCGACATTGTGCAATTTGTGTGGATCATATCCAAGAGGAATTCTGAGAGTAAAAACTCACCTTTATCTCGGCGAGGTGACTTCGTCCTGTTTGGCACAACCGCACCGTTCACACCACGAGAGATCAAACTATCCAGTTCGCTTTTCTTCTTGCGTGTGGCGTATTTCCTTGCGTAATGTTTTGATCTCGGTGGAGCAACTGGAACGTTAGTTACTAAGAAAATAAACAGAGAATCAATGAACGTTTCCAGCTATAGACGAAATTTTGATCTAGACAAGAAAAAGGTTGCGAATAGACAATTCCCATTATAGACTAATTTTAAAACTAGGCAAGGAGATGCAAATAAATCACCACAGCTAGAAAGAGCATAATGAAATGAGTAAAATTGCAAAGTTTGGTTGCGAAATGTTGTAAAATGCAGAAAATACAGCCTTGCAAAGTTTGCAAATTTTCAGTCATTTTGTATTGCGAGCGGAATTCCTACCACATTCGGGCCCAAATGTGGTAGGAATTTCCGCACGCAATACAAAAGTATACAAAATTTGCAAACTTTGCAAGGCTATATTTTCTGCATTTTACAACATTTCGCAACCAAACTTTGCAATTTTACTAATTTTAGTATGCTCTTTCTAGCTGTGGTGATTTATTTGCATCTCCTTGCCTAGTTCTAAAATTAGTCTATAATGGGAATTGTCTATTGTTATATAATGACGAAAATATAGCCCTGTGAAGTTCGCAAATTTTGTATATATTCCAGATGATCTTCATACGCGGAAAAGTACTGGCACTAGTTGTCAAATAGAAATCCATTTTGTGATTAAAACAACTGAATATCTCCTGTAATATACTTTATTTCGATTCCATATTTTTGTCAGAGCTATAGTTCTCATAACCAAACATAATTACAAAATTTCAACTAGTTTCATAAAGAATAACGAAAGATATAATTGACTGAATACATCAAAATGGATTTCTATTCGGACAACCCTTTCTGAGCGCTGATTGGCTAAAATACGAACACGAGATCACCTGGTTTGCATTACGTGTGGGAAAAATAACCATTTTTGAGCCGAAAGTGGTTATTTTTACCGCGCGTAATATAAATATATACAAAATTTACAAACTTCACAGGGCTATATTTTCTTCATTTTACAACATTTAGCAACCAATCTTTGCAGTTTTACTCATTCTAAGACGCTCTTTCTGGCTGTGGTGTTGGATTTCGTTCTTCTTGCCTTGATCAAAATTTAGTCTGCAGCTGGAATCACCCATTAGATCAAGCCAAAGTATAAATCAATCGCATAATTCACACATTATGCAGGGTCGCTTGAGATTTATAGTGTAAAGGCAATTTTCCACTACGGTTGCTTTGTCCGTGCGATCGTAATGGAAAATGGCGTTAAGTTGGATTATAATAGAGAGGTCCAGATTTTGACTTCCACTACCGCTATTGATATCCAATCAGATGCATTTATTCTACGCCATTAACCAATCAAATAGCGTAGCGGCAGTGGAAGTCATATCTGGACCTCCCTGATACGAAGATAAAGGAGATGAATGACCTGAAGCCCAAGACCTCAAAATATCCATTATCTAAACTTCGACTGCGTTCAGACAGACTGAGTGCCCGGCACTGGTGCCCAATGTTCAAAGTGGTTCCCAAAACATGTTGAACACAGTGCCGTTGTCGAGTACTACCTCTAGAAGTAGTGCCCTTTCTTGGGTACAGTCACGAGTGACGGGCACCAGTGTCCGCGGGCAGTCTGAACACAACCTTAATGAATCGAAGTTGAAGATGGCATATCTACAATACACACCTGTTTGAAGTTGGGTGCTATCTTGTGTGTCTTGTTTAGCACAACTGCGATATTCGACCGTGATCGAAGGCAATCGAGATTCCCTGCAAGTTAGACATGACATAAGGCCAATTAAAAATAATAAAAAAAAACAGTTGGCGATTGTCCCCGCCCGCCTATAAAAAAATACCCAGGATTTAAAAAATTTTCTATTTACAAAAAACAACTTTTGTCTCGTGAGTTCCTCTGTAAATGGTGCGTTACACGACTTTTGTAGCAGTTCAGCGTAGCAGTCCTGAACTATAGTAAGTACTGCACCTTCTATGTTGTTAATGTTGTATTCAGGTGAATGAGTACTCTGAGTGTATATCCACACCGGACAAGCTTGAAAAATATGCCTGCCACGGTGGGAATCGAACCTACGACATTTGGAACACTAGCCCAATGGCAATGCTCCGCCAACTGAGCCTTAGGGACCGGTCATAAAGTAACTGCTAGGGTGGGCTGGAGTGATTTGGGATGGGCCATGGAAAATCTTTGGGCAGTTTCGATGGGCCGCCAATTTTTTTTGTATGTCCACAGTGGGTCACCAAACAAAAACTCATGCATGTTTACTTAAAAAAATAAAGATATTAATAATAAAAGTAAACAAAACTATCCAAATTATCAAATGCAAATGATGCTATTGAAGCCAGTACTTTGTTTATACAACAACAAGAAGTATTCGAATCACAGCAAATACAACCAACTGGAGAGCAGCTCAGTCGTATCGTAATTGGTGAGGAATGTGTTGGTCAAGCTTGGTGGAATTCAATTATGTATGTCAATACAGTGTCAGTGTATATTTACAATGTTCATATACCTGCAAGTTTTTTGTTGTTATAAAAGTGTATTTTCCCAATTTAGATTGGGTGGGTCATGAAATTTTTTTTTGTAAGATTAGATGGGCTTTGAAATTTTTATCTACATCCTAAGATGGGTCACCAAACTTATTGGCAAAATTTGTGATTTACCTCCAGCCCACCCTAGCAGTTAATACTTTATGACCAGTCCCTTAGTCATGTACTGTACCTTGTCATGAGTTTATTGGGGCTTTGGTGGCGCAATCGTCAGAGTAAGCACATTTCGCCTCTGAGATCGTGGCTTCGATTCTGGCTACGAACTCATGACACTTATGTGAAAAGAGTCAGTCAACGCTCTACTGAAAATCGTGGGTTTTCTTCGGGTACTCCGGATTCCTCCCACAGGGAATGTTCACAGGGTGCCAAGGGTGGCTTGACTACAAAATTTTTGTAGTTCGCTATAACTACAGCTACTTCAGAAATATGTAGTCAGCTACAACTACTGCTACTTTTGAACAAAGGTAGTTCGCTACTGACTACAGCTAATAATCTTTGCTGTATAAAATAATATTTTAAGCAAAACGTGTCTTAATATCATTCTATTCTATGAACGGCTGCTAACAATTTTAAAAGGTAGCGAATGGCGATTCGCTGTTTGAAAAGTAGTCAACTATTTGGCTACTTTTAGGCAAAATGTAGTTCGCTATAACTACAACTACTGTTTTAAAAAAGTAGTCAAAAACTACTGGCCACTTGAAAGTTGTAGTTTGCTACAGCAGCGAACTACAACTACTTCGCTACTATCCACCCTTGCAGGGTGGGTTGGGACTAGCCCCCTAACTGACCCTTCCACCATATAGCTGTACGCCGTGATGCAGGGTCTTAGCTAGAGGGCCGTGTTGGCCGTGTTATCGCGGCCAAAAATGGAAAAACACGGCTAGATAAAATGAACGCGGCTTTATTATTTATATAAGGCCGTGTAGGTTCATAAAATAACGTGTTGCTACTTACAACAGACAGAATTTCTTCCTATTTACGTCGTAAGAAAGATTGTAAATCTACTGTTGTTGTTGAATTTGGCAAAAGTCATCCGTGATGTTTTGATGGATAATGGGAATGGTGTTAAAATGGCTTTAAATACCTTATACTATTAAATAATTATAAAAAACTATAAAATAACTTATACTATTTTAATGTCAGTACGCAGTGTGAGCGTATAGCCTTGTATTTGGTTGCAACTCATACAACAACCACATGCATTGTTTGTTGCTGGCAAGCATAACTAGAACCGTGAATTTGGCTATTACATGGGCACACCCTGGTCATTTAGAAACACGCCCAAGATCTAAAATCCTAGCTAAGACCCTGCCGTGATCGGACACGAGTCATGAGGTGGCTGCCAGAGGCGCCGTTAGAACGCCTTCGACTGGATCAGGTTGAGCTGCGTCCTTCGTAATTCAGCTTAGCTCTCAGCTGCAAGTAAAGATGATTAGCACACCCCAATTACTTACTTACCCCCATTTATTTGAAGTAAAGGATGATCACCAACTATTTTTTTTATCTGGCCTAAATTACAAATATGAGGAACTACCGGTATAAAATAACAGCAGTTTTTTATGTTATAGCATTGTATAAACGTGGTGACCTACTTTTCTTCAAGATAATCCATATAATCAATCATAGTAGAGTATGTTGTATTCACTTCAAACAAAGGTTGAGTAAATATGAGGAACTACCGGTATAAAATAACAGTATAGCTTTTTATGTTATAGTATTGTATAAACGTGGTGACCTACTTTTCTTCAAGATAATCCATATAATCAATCATAGTAGAGTATGTTGTATTCACTTCAAACAAAGGTTGACTGTCGTCTTCTTCCAATATACCAGAAAATAATGACTTGTCGCTTGTCACCCACCTGGGCAAAGGCAAAAACAACGTTTACTGTAAATTCATGCAAAGTAATAGACGTTAAAAGAGCATCCCTTTTAAGATCTTACCAAGTCAATTGTACTTCAATGTTTACTCCATTTTCCTTACAATGAAGACGAACATTACGAGTCTTGGATGAGTCTGGCGACAATTTAACCACAACCTAAATGTAGCATTAGACGAAATTACAATACTATAGCACAGAGGGTGCCTTTGATGTTAGTAATCGTCACCTCAAAATGGCTGACTTTGGCTTAGGTAGGTAAGTAAAAATTTTGTTAGCTTTTATGGGGGCGAGTGCCTATTGTCCCTGAGCCAAATGGCCGGTTTGGCTTAGTCATGCATGAGGGTGAGTGCCTCTTGTTCCCGAGCCAAATGTCCGCTTTGCTTGGACATTCGCCCTCACTGTCATTCATTTCCAGTATAAATCTGGCCTTTAAAATATCATCTGGAAAAAGAAACAAAGTTTACAAACTCATCAGACCATATTCTTTTGTATTTCGTCGGTTTTTAACTCCTCCGTAATAACCTTCTATCTAAAAGCAGGCGGTGGTATTTGATTTCTCCGGGGGAAAATACGGGGTTGAAGGTTATTACGGAAAAATAACAACCGGGTAGCAGGTTATTACGGAAAAATAATAACCTGGTAGCAGGATATTACGCAAAAATAATAACCTGCTAGTCTGCTACCAGGTTATTATTTTTCCGTAATAACCTGCTACCAGGTTATTATTTTTCCGTAATAACCTGCCACCCGGTTTATTACGAAAAAATAATAACCAGTTAGCTGGTTTTACATTTTCAATTCAAGACCTGGCATGGAGTCTTGAATTCGGGACTTGAATTTGCAGGAAAACTCAAGACCCACATCTCCTTTTCGACTAGAAAACGTTGCACGTCTCTAAGTCGAGAAAGAGACAACAGCCGTGTACCTCAGAGCCCGTCAAAACTCTACCATTAGGTAAGAGTATCTATCATTCGGCGCACGAGGACTAGCTGGATCAACCATCAAACATGCTTGTGCAGGGAATTTATACAGTAATATCTGTTCTTTTGCTTGTGGGACGTGAAATGATATACTGCGCATGCTTAACCACATTTTAAAGCGTGTTAATGCGCATGTTACACCTAGTTATTTCGTCCCACAACTGCAGCGACCTCTCATTGAATTAATATAGCTTGAATTTTTAATGAAGAAAACCTCCAAAATTCAAAAGAATATGGTCTGATGAGTATATAAACAAGTTAAAAGCCGCGGGTATCGGTTTTTATTAAACTGTAAAGACCTCGGGCCTTCGGCCCTCGGTCTTCACAGTTTAATAAAAACCTCTCCCTTGGCTTTTAACCTACATTTACAAAACGCTTACCAAATCATCTTTCCCATACAGCAACTGAACAGCAATCTTGGAAGCAAGAATAGTTTTCTCAGAGCATGCTTCATTCAAAACCGTCAAAGTAAAGCTCCTGTAGCTTTCTTTTGTAAATGGAATGTCAAATTGTTTTGCCAAAGGTTCGATGAGATCCTTTAGACAGTGCTGTAAGAGAATATTGCACATGTAACATGGAAATAGTGTCCAGATTGGTATCTGTTTTATAGAAGTCATCACAATAATGTGATTGATGTCATTTTTACATGTAATTCTCCACAAACAGAGAGGGTGGAATTCTTAAAGGAACTTCTGCCTTCAGGGTCTGAAATTTAAATTTTTTCTCAATATCCAACTGGGAAACCACAATTCAAAGTTTAGTATCCCCATCCATCCTATCCATATCCAGTGTCCCATCCAAATAAGTTTCCATAACTCTCACTGTTACAAATTACAATAACAACAGGAGACTCAACAGTCAACAACTAGACAATTCATTAATACACAAAAATGCACATAATATGAGGAAAGCCTTGGGTGGCAAACTCATAGTATTCAAAAGCTATCAGGAGACTGTCAGAGGTACTTAACATTTTCCTAATGTTTGAAATTTTCTTGTTATCCAATTGGGATATAAGTCATTCACAGTTTGGTATCCCAAACTAAATTTTAGTATCATAGCAGGCGTTTAGTGCGGGTGGGAGAAGAGGGCGGCCTCGCTTCTCCCGCCCACACTAAACACCTGCTACGCAAGCTAGGATACTGCAAATTTCAGACCCTGGTCACTTGTAGATGGAAATTTTGAGTGGAATTTTAATTTATACATTTATTAAACCTAACCGGGGCTTTCGGAAATATTCTGAGTAGGTGGCTGTGTTGACAAAGTAGCCAGCAGCTGTGGGGAGCAGTCTAGGGAGTCTTACGGGAGGGTCTGAATGGGGTTAACTGACTACTTAGCCTCCTCCGCAGGCCTCTCTATGGGTTCTAGCCTAGGCATCTCACCAAACTTTTCCCCACCACCCGATTCATCGAGTGAGATGCCTGCGGAGGAGGCTACTGACTACTGACATTTGGCTGAATTTTTGACTGACAACTGACAAAATATCCTAACTGACAACTGAGAAATGATGTAAAAATGATGAGTCAGCATTTTGCAGTAACTGAACACTGACAGCTTGCAATATATCGCACTGACAATTACTGACAACTGGCTTAAATTTTAGCTGACAACTGACACCCATAGACCCCCATTAAGACCCTCTTACAGTCATCCAAATTAACCAGTGTATATTGACAGCAACACAACTGAGCTCGATCTGTAACCAAATTATAATGTATCACTACTTTTATTCTTCAAACTTAAGATGGAAAGAATAACTTTGTTTGAAAGCTTAGAGTTGAGCCTGAGGAGGGCAGAATTGATACTTCAAGTACTAAACAAAGTAACCAGCGGTAAACCTTGTGTTACCCGCCGGAGCTCCAGCGGCCGCCAGGTTATTTTGAAAGCCCTGCCTAACCAGGAGCAGTTGTGAAAAATTCAACTATAGTCCCACTGGCAGGAATCAAACGTGCGGCCCTGTGATTCTGGTGCAGTAAATGTGCTAATAAATAAAAAGTCTACTCGAAATTTCCATCTACCAATCCCTTCAACAACTAGTTATATCGAGGGAGATGCCAAAAATCCTAGAATTTTCAAACTATTCACCTGTCGTGACTGAACAATGTCGGAGCCTTCTAGATTAGCAACAGTATGCCATGGTTTACCTGTCAAAATATAACAAATAACATCAACCCAGGCTTTTAGCCAGAAGGGTGTCCAGGCATCCTGGGATGTCCCTAGAACAAAAAGTGGATGCCTTTGGATGCCCAAATTATGGGGGGAAAGGGAAATTATTTTCAATGATTCCCTAAGTATATTAACATATCCGAAACGAAATAGCTTCAATTCTCATTATTATTATATATTTGACATTTTGATCAATTTGATGGTGTACCTGGCTGAATGAAAATGTCGTAGTTAAGTAAAAAAGCAATAGTGGCACAAACTCACAAAGCCAAGTGTGTTTGAAAGATTTCAAACGAGGTTGGAAAGATACTAACATGAAGTAACATAAACTTCAAAGGTTTTCCAGAGGAACGTTTTCTCTAACCCCCACCCCTCTTTACGGTAGATCTATAGTTATGTCAAAATTGGACGCCCTCTTTTAGGACCCTGGCTAAAAGCCTGTATCGGGGGTTCTTAATTATCAGTTATTCGATATTTGTTTTTTTTTTATTTTCACACACCGAAAATAGTGGAAATATGCTCAGAATGATCGTAGATCTATCTATATGAATGTAGATCTATTGTTATGTCAAAATTGGACGCCCTCTTTTAGGACCCTGGCTAAAAGCCTGCAAGGCCCTAGATCTAGGTTGAGTACAGTTCATATCATTTTCATACCAACAGAAGCTACTGCCAGTTGTACTTTGGGAATTTCTAGCTGTAATGTGGCAATCATATCATGGTGGGAGGGACAAAGATTTACACCATCTATAGCAAGTGATTCCAGCCTGGAACAACAGCCCTGCAATACAAACATACAGTCTACATCAATTTGGGACATTCAGCAGTTCACCATGTACACAGATGGCATAAGCAATTGCACATTGGTATACCATAGAGAAGCAGGGTCTGAGATTTAAAATGTTTTTCAGTACCCATTGCGATACCAGGATTTAAAGTTTTAGTATCCCATATGAGAATCCAGGATCCCACTTCTGGTTGCTGGTTTGAGATTCACAGTTTGGTATCCAAAATCAAATTTTAGTATCCTGTGTACAGTATATTGGGATACGGCAGATTTCAGACCCTGGTTTAGATGTACCCTACCTTCAAAGCAACCCTAATTCCAGCAGGGTTCTTGAAAAAACCACCAGGGATGGTAACAGGGCCATCATCCATTGAGTCCACATCTTTCTTATAGTCCTATATATATAATATTGATAGATGTTAAAAATGATTCCTTACTCTACTCTATGGTCTTCATTGTGGTGCAACTTACCACTGTGTTTTGAAATGTAAAAAACAGCTACAGTATATCGTCTTCATACCTCTAGCAATGTCTTCACATGTGTTGCAAGAACAGACTTCTGTGACATAGAAAGTTTTTCTCCTTTCTTATGTTTCAGTAAATTGTAAACATCTTCACCCGACAAGTCATTCTCTCGGATGCTTTGGTAACTCTGCATTGCATAAAAAATATAATACTCATGTACATGTAAGATCATGATTCGAATTGTCCAATAAAAAAACCAAGTATTTGTACCATGTAATGTGATGTTTTACGGTATTTCACTCAAATTCATGATTTTGCGATGCAGTGTGAGATATTGTAATATCTCACGGTAGATATTATGTGACACCATGTGCTAAAACAATATGGCATTTTTGAGCTGTTGTTTGCAATTTTGCACAAACGATTTATCGATTTAACTAAAGATTTTCAAGAGGTATGTTATCTTCAATGATCCAAAGGATACAAGCTCAAATATTTTAAATAGAAAATGTCAAAATCCCAGGTATAAATAAGAAATTAAACAGTGTATTTGCTTAGTAGTTATTCAGCAAGTTTATTCCAAACTTAGTGGGTTCTTTAATTAATGTTCATTATAATATATAATTTATAGACCCTCAACTTGAGGATTCATTGAAATATTACCCTCAGTGATTATATATTCTGGTAATATTTTGCCAAATCCCCCTCGCTCCAGGTCTATAAATGATAAGTATACAACCCTGATAAACAATTTAAAACAAACCTGAGCAAATGAACACCATGTTGTGGTTGCCTCTTTCAGCTGTGGTGCAATCTCCCTGTCCCGCAGGTAATCACCAACTGACTGGTACTCTCCCAGTGGAGCCAACATGGTCGACATGTCACCATTAAACTGTGCTATGGTGTGTAGCAATGATAAGAGACTAGCTCCTACCATCTGAAAATATAATGTTCAATATATTGTTTGTTTAAAAATAGCAATGTAAATGAACAATTGTTTATTAATCAATGTTCCAGACTTATTTAGGGATCAGTAATGGTCCAGTCATATTATGAGATTAGACTAATGATGGTCCAGTGTCATTTTGAGATCAGTCTTTTTTGTGTGTGTTTTGATGTTATGTACTCAGGTGAATATAATGTTTTTGATGTTACACTGAGTGTATATCCACACCGGATAGGCTGAAAAGTTAGCATGACTATGGTGGGAATCAAACCCGCAACTTCAGTCTTATTTTCAGATCAGTATCAAGCAATGGTCCAGTGCTCAAGGGTGGGTTGACTACAAATTTTTTGTAGTTCGCTGTAAATACAGCTACTTCAAAAATATGTAGTCAGCTACAACTACTGCTACTTTTAAAGAAAGGTAGTTCGCTACTGACTACAGCTACTGCTTAAAAAATGTAGCGAACTATTTCGCTACTCTATATTTTTAATTTTACTGTATTTGGAGCATCTATTAACTCAGGCTGGAATGTAACCTATAACAAATCGATTTACGAGTAACAACAGTAAACACAAAGCAACATTTTTGAAAGCACTACAGTGTTCAGGCGTGCAAATTGACTATTGAGTATTGATTTTAAGCAGACCGTGTCTCAATATCATGCTATTCTATCAAGTTACTAACAATTTTAAAAAGTAGCGAATAGCGATTCACTGTTTGAAAAGTAGCCAACTTCTTGGCTACTTTTAGGCAAAATGTAGTTCGCTATAACTACAGCTACTGTTTTAACTACTAGCTATTTGAAAATTGTAGTTCGCTACAGTACGAACTACAACTACTTCGCCACTACCCACCCTTGCCAGTGCTATATTGAGATCAGTCTAATAATGGCCACCCAAATTGCTTTGAGTAAACATTTTTAAGCCGAAATTCTATGATATTCACCTTTTGCCCTCAGCCCTGTAGGAAACCTTTTCATCGAAAGATTAAATGTTTTCATAAGTCAAAGCTAACAAAACCACTGCCTATTAATAACAAGGGATCAGATTTCAACAATGGGACAAAAGTCCTGTTCCTTTCTTCTTGCGGGGAGCTAATTTCCATAAATTGTCTAACATATATAAAATTTTCCCAGAAATGTTGGGGCTGGGCAGGGATTTTCCAGACCTAACATATTTCCTACTTTCTCAAATACAGAACCGGTCTCATTCATCTTTCCCCCAACTTTTATTCTTGTGGGGCTAAGCCCCCCCCCCCCCCAACATTCTGCCAATGTCTCCAGGCATAATTATGTTTGTCTTGTAATCATAATATTATGATAAAATCAAATAAATACTGGATAATTTATGAACTCTGCTCTCAATCAATCAGCTGGCCTTTCGATCACTGATACACAAAGTGACAATTGACAATATCCAAACAAAAAGATAAAATTAGTTTAAAATATTGACTCACAATAATTCCAATATCGAATGCTTATACAGTTTTTCCTTTAATCAAAAGGATATATTAGTCATGAGTTCAATAAATTAACCTCTCCTCACTAATAACATGATCAGACAGAGAATAAACATTCCCAATTTGGGTGTTTTTGTTAATCACTTTTATTTACAAGCTTGTCTCGTGCAGACATGAAAAATTAATAACAGACAAGCAATTTTCCAACAAAAACAAAGTCTCATATGACAAGTTGGCACCATTTCACCAAAATGCAAATAATTTGGCATCACTTCAAAAAAATAACGAAAATAATTTTGAAAGCAGAAAGATTTACATTTGAATATAAATATTTGTCACACTCGATTGCTTTGTCATTGTGATGTAGTCATGCTCAAAAATAAACAACATATTAAATGCTATGTACATTTCATACTAAAATTCATAAATAGTTTCTACATACTAAATACCTTAATTCTGTTGCCTTCTAGAGAGCTTAAACACTGGCTCAATTGCTCTTGTTTTTGCGTGTAATCTCGGTCGGCCCAAGAGAATCTTTCCTTCACTTGTTGGAAGCGTTTGCCCTCGGAAGCCGCCACATCTTTTTGAGCAAAGCTCTCTAACGTCTCCTGACATTTTGAATGACGATTTTTACACCGCTTGTAGTCGCCAATTTCTTGTTTGACGGCGGGTAAAAGCGACGTGAATTCACTTAAAGTTGTTAGAACAGAACTACTTATATCAGCGTTGCAATCATTCAAAACTTTATGCTCTAGTTTATCCGTAACTTGTTGAAACTGCTGTGATATTTTCGACAGCGTTGTATCCCCCAAAAGTTTCGCAAATGTAGCTGATACACGACAACCGGCACTGCAGTAGTTGTTTAAAGCATCTATGTAACCTTCAATAGATTTCCCAACAGCAGTTAAGTCTTTTTCAAGGTCAGCAACGTCGGGCAGTAGACGTTCGTGGCGTCGACCGATCGTATCGGCTGTCAATTCGCCATTTTTCCAAGCTTCAGGGAGACTACATTTCGAGTCAGCCATCGTTTATTCACTGTTTCAAGCTTCCTTGTTTCGTTATTTTCACTCCTTCAATCTTATTTGTTCGCCACATCTCAAGTGAAACCATTGATGTCCCTTTCATTTTTCAAGACTATAATTACAAGCTTTGAAATCAACGTCCATATTGATTGCCAATTGCCAACTTCCGTTTCGTGCTTCCACTTGAGAGAAATAATTTCCCATTGTCATTGCCTCAAATTTCTTGATTTTAAAATTTCCTTCTATTATATTTTTTAAAAATGTTCTTTCATTTATTTTCAAAATTCTGTTATCCTTGTCTACAATTTTACCAAAATAAAAGCCAAAAAAGTCTACCGAATTTCTTCTTTACGTTTTATTTCTTCCAAATTTCCTCACAAAAAGGCCAAAATGTTCTTCTGAAATATATCTTCCAGGTGAAAGATACGTGACAATGTGTGCAGTAGCGATGTCTGCCAATCTGACCACAAGAAGTTTTAAAATATTTAACTGCTACCGACAGTTATTCCCCGACAAAAATTTAAATATTAATATATCGTACACTGAGACTAATTAACCATTATTTTTGAGCGTGGGGGTCCAGTGCAAGTAGAATTATTGAATAAACTGCCTTCGTTAAAATGATAAACTTCGATGACGATGTTTTAAACGAAGGATTTTCCCAGCTGAAGGAAGCCCGAAGAAGTTTTCGAATTCCTTTTTCAGTCAGTATCGTCCAAAACTAAGACAATTTTATATACATCTGTGGATAAGAGCCAAAAAATTATAAAGACGATTATGTTATTTACGTATCAACGTGGAGGCGTTTATAAAAGTTCCCACTTTTTAATCCTGTACTTGGATGTGGGCGTACTGATATGCAAGAATTGCTGCTATGTCGGTTAAAAATGCTAGATAAGGTTTCCTGGGTTAGGTTAGGGTTTAGGTTAGGTCTCTGGGTTAGGTTAGGGTTAGTATTAGGGTTTAGTTTTGCGTTAGGATAGTTTTTTCTACGTTATAAAAACAGAAACCTTATTTTGAAGTATACTATCTAGCGAACACCATGTCGGTTATGCCTATACTGGTAATTACCCCGCCAACAATTAGAGGAAATTTACTTGACTTGTGACGTCTTTTAGCGTACGTTTGACAATGTGCGTGCAGAATTAGAGAAGATTAAAGAGCAAAGTTACAGATTAGGGAGGGATAATTATTCCTAATCCTTCTCGAGATTGAATTGAAGACGGAACCTTTCGGACAAACAATTGCTGGCAAAGATTTAAATGAAATGTGGGCAGTCAGTTAATATGAAGGCCGGCTGGTGCTATCCACGGTATCCAGTGATTTTTTCAACCGTTGTCAAAATGTTTAAAAAGCTATCTGAAAGAGGGTCCTGAAGGGGTAAAATGGGAACTGGGATTTGCTTATTTTTGGGTGGGAAAATGGGATTTCATGCATTGGGATTCATCAGCAAAAAAACAATAGAAAATGGGAATAGGATTAAGATTTGAGCAGGACAGCCACTGAGATGATGGGATTTGTGCTCTGGGACAATGGGATTTAGTCCAAATTTGGGCTGGGAAATGGGAATACGACCCCTTCAGGACCCTCCTGAAACTCACTAATAATTCATTAGCCAACCATATGATGAAAACATTTTATTACAGTGACACCACAACATAGTTTGCTCACATGATAATACTGAATACCTGGTGAAGTATATTGACCCAGTCCTAGGACTGGGTCAAACTGATTAATTCAGTTCTTGGACTGGATCAAAAATAATTTATTCAAATCCTTCAATTCGGGCTGGGCCAGATTCCAAGTCATTGCATTTGATGGCATTATCAGACTAGTTACACGGTTGTTCTAACAAGTCTGATACAGTCATGATATAACAAGAATGTTACAAGTTTGACGACACAAAGTTGTAACAATAGGGCCATTTATACGGAACAAAATAAGACGCGACTTAGATAAGACGCGACTTAAGTAAGACGCGAGTTTGTGGTATAAAAGGTACAAAATTCTTATGTAAGACGCGTCTTACATAAGAACAGGTCTTTTAGCTGTTCTTATTTAAGTCGCGTCTTAAATAAGAAATTTTGGACAAAAATTCTAACTACACATGCCAGAAACTTGAAACAACGTAAAATTTAAAGCCTTGCATATTAAAACAAAAACAACCGAAACAACATTATAGCTATAGCAAATAAATAAGACCAAAGCCGTAGAGAACCATTTATGCGATAACTCCACTTATTTAAGTCGCGTCTTATGTAAGTCGCGACTTATTTTGTCACGTATAAATGGCCCTATTATTGCTATATCACGACTGTATCGGACTTGTTGGAACAACCTTGCAACAAGTCTGATAATATCAACAAGGTTGTTATAAGTTGTTAACAGCCACATAGTTGGATTTGAAATATTACATAAAATTCGGATGTGGACTGAGCAATCTGAGCTCGCAGTGAACTTTAATTTATAAATGCCAAAGTTTAATCAGGGTTATACCAACGGACAAATTTAGGAGGCTTGAAGGCCTTCGTACAACCGACCACTGAACTTTGGGGCTGTATAGTTGTCGTCTTACATCGTAAGGGATATGGTAATAAAAATTAACTTTGTCTCATTTGAAAGAACTTTTAAAGTTATATATGAAAACCTTTTACAACTTTTTCGCACCTTGCTTGGTTTTCGAAATATTTTGACCAAAAACAGTGTGTAGTCCGAAATTGTTGGTATTAAAATGTTGTGAGTTAATTGAGTACTAAAAATCGAGTTTTATATTAACAATGACATGTGGTTTGCAAGAAAAAAATTTCGGTTTTTACCCTACTTGTGACGTATGCATATCGAATGCATATCCAAGATGGCGGAATGCACGCTGCTCGTGATCAAAATAAGTCGATTTATTTCGAAAGCCAAGCAAGATACGGAATAATTGTAAAGGAAGTTTATATTTAACAAATATAAAACATTTTCCGTGTTGATATACAGTTATATCAACAAGAGTGGAATTGGGAAAACGAGAAATTGTGCGGAAACACGACGCCCGAAGGGCGGAGTGTTTTCATACAATTTCGAGTTTTCCCAACTTGCACGAGTGTTGATATAACTATATATCAATACGGAAAAAATGTTTTATATTTTTTTTTATAATATAGCAATGTCAAAAGCCCGAAGGATAAGAAAAATTTCCGTGTTTACAAGCGGCGGAAAATTGCCCGTGTTGACATTGAGTTATATCAACACGGCTCTTAGCCAATCAGCGTTTAAAATTTACAAATGCTATATTATAAATCATAATAAGACAAACTTAATTTATATTGCCATATCCCTTTAAAGCTCTTTATTATTGGTGGATACGAATATCCAGTGGCGTTCAAGATTCAATTACTGTGTACAGCAGGCATGTCATAACTTTAATCGATTTATGTCTTCCAGACGAAAGTCCACTCTATAAAAACAAAATTGTTAAAATGAATGCATGGCAATATATAAACTGATAGGTATTTTTGACTTTTTGTGAAAAACTACAATCCTGGCAAAAATTATTGTGGGCAGCGCGCGCGGAAATAGAAATATCTGCCTTGCCAGCAATTTTGAACTTCCCCTTCTCCCGTTCAAGGTCGAAAGATTATAAATTGGTTACGTGAACGTTTTGTGAAATGCATGTCAAAACCAACATTGTAGGGGGATACGGGAACATGCATATGTGAATAGTAATAGCTCCCTCCCCTTAGACTATGAAGGTAGAGTCATTCCATTGCTCCCTGCTTTCTGTAGCCATGCTTGAATCCTTGAGCCACATTCAATCCGTTAACGTTGGTGGGGTCCAAATTAAGCCGGTTGACAGTGTTCGAAACTTGGGATCTTGGTTTGACAAGCATATGTCAATGTCAGTTCATGTAGGCAAGATGTGCAGTAAAGCATTCAGAGGACTTTATAAAATACGACAAATTAGAAAATTTTTATCTACTAATACAACGAAAACTTTGATACATGCTTTCGTGACATCACACGTGGACTATCAAGTCCAGCGAATTCAGAGAGTTCTTAATGCCGCTGCTAGACTAATCTACCACTGTCCAAGATTTTCTCACATCACCCCAGTTTTGAGATCACTTCACTGGCTACCGGTAAAATTCCGGGTGGAATTCAAAATTGCTTTACTGGTTTACAAGGCTCTTAATAACATTGCCCCTATCTACATCTCTGAAATGCTTATCCCAAAACAATCAAGTGATCGCTGGACATTACGATCGGATGGTCAAGGTCTATTATACATCCAGAAAACAAACTGTAAGACTCTAGGAGATCGGGCTTTCGCACATGCTGCTCCACAATTATGGAATTGTCTGCCTCTGGATGTCAGGAATTGTGAAAACATTTCTGTGTTTAAGAAACGCTTGAAAACATTTCTTTTCAATAAGGTTTATAACCCTTTATAGGTTGAGACCATATTGGATTCTATCATTCTTATTATAGATACATACATTAGTGTATATTCTAATTGTTCTGATACAATACCATGTTTTATATAGCATATTTAATTCTTAATATATTTAGATTTTTATAATGTACAGCGCTTCGAGTATATAATATAACATATGCGCTTTATTTAAATGAATAAAAAAAAAATTATTATCAGTGCTACTAATATGCATACCTTAGAGTCATGATTTGGCGAACCTCTGTTGGTGTCAGCCTCCAGGTCAGCGGACCAGAACTGGAATCCCAATACTCCATGATTTCACTCACCTAGTAAAGTCAGAGTATCGAACTCTTATTACTAACTGCATTTATACATTGCTGCGTTAACTACTTCACTTCATCACCGCGAATATACATATACATACACTCAGTGGCGAAGCTATACCCATTGCACTGACGTCACAAATCCTTAGAGTGTCCTCCAGATGCTCCCTAACAATATCTGTTCGGGTACAACAACCACATACAGCGCAAAAATTAACCATTTTAATACAATGACCACAAAAAACCATTTTAATACAAAATTATTGTAAACTTTTACAAAATTTGCTTTGTATACAAAAGTTATATTATGCATAGATTGCCAATTTGTCCTCCAGATGCATCGTCACCGGCGCTGTGACGTCATGTACAATGGGTCTATACTGTACATAGCAACCTACAGATCATTCTATGCACATTTTTAATGATTTGCATTATTGAAACCTTTAGAAATGTATTGTCTTTAACCTATATTTAGACATGTTTATTAAGCCACTTGAGCTCACTTCTCATCGGGGCTTTTCACTGACCGATTACATCAAGTATATTATGCTTATACTTATATCACTTACTTAGACTACACAGCTAAAAACGATCAGGTTGCCGCAATATTGATGAAAACAGGATTGAAACAATGTTGTGCGGCCCACATTGTTCACAGTTGTCAACAATATTGAACAATATGTTACACCCGATTCAGGCTCAACAACATTGTTCAATATTGTTGACAAGTGTGAACAATGTGGGCCGCACAACATTGTTCAATCCTGTTCAACAGCAGGCACATAATTTTACGCGTGTAGACTATTTATCTTTACAACAATTGTGATATTACTTTCCTAACCCACGGTTGCCCACCCTGTCAACGTTCCATGCATGTGGGGGGAAACTGGAGCAGCCGGCGACTTTCGGCAGAGCGTTGTGTCAGACTCCTTTCACACGAGTTCGTATAGCGAAAGTCGAACTCACGATCTCAGGCTTGCTCTGACGACAGCACCTACTTATCAATATTTCAACAGTTGAGTGACTTTGACAGACGTTTGGAGAGTTTCCAGAATATATCGTCACTGACCATGTGAAAGTCGAATGAATATTATTGGATCTATGTTCTAGCCTATACGCATACCCATATATGGGGGCCACTTCGGTGGAAAACATTTGTGCATTGACCTAACTGGATCATATATTGTAATGACGTAATGCTAAAGGCTTTACAGCCAACTCGGCCCACTAACCAACTCGGCCCACTGTTCAAGGGCCAACTCCACCTGCTTGTAAACTGATTAACCTAACCGCTAAACAAGCTAGGAGCCATGACTGGGTTCTATCTTTGCAAATGTTGAGAGAGATTTGAATGGTCAGTAATTTAGTATCAAAATGGACAGATCGAGAATTTGAAACTTGGATAGATTCTTTAATTAAATTAAGTCAAACTGGATGTTGTCAAACTTTACTCATCTGTACGCCTAATGCAACTGCAAATGGCTGTATTGGTTTGGTGCTATCTTTTGTGAAATATTAGCTTTCCTAATATGTCAAACAGAAGTTAACAATTGGGCCAACATGGTAGGGGCCGAGTTGGTCAGTGGGCCGAGTTGACCAGCTTCCATGCTAAAGCTCTTTTCCTACCCTTTCCATATTCAAAATGGTTGCCATTTGAGTAAGCCTTGCAAACTTATCTCGCACTGTCCATTGTGTGATAGCGGTTAAATATCCAACCAGTGAACGCAGTTCTTTGTCAAATTGAAGGCCTCCAAGCTTGAAATAAACACAATTCAAAAACTCATTAACATAATCCAAGAGGAAAAGAGAAAGGAAATCACTACCGTGTCGTTGGTTAGAGAAAAAATCATGTTAATTTCCTTAAAATACTCAGTAATAATTCATAAACCTTGTAGCAAATCATGTCAGCCATAATATGTCACGTGGAGTGACTTTATATCTGATAAAACTCATCTTCATTAGTATTCTTTATATAATTGTTCATCCTAATTAGTATGATTATATAATTGTTCATCCTAATTAGTATTCTTTTGTATAATCGTATTTTAAGCTATTCAAACACTCGTTGTTGTGTTTTATCAGACATAAAAGAGGGTCCTGAAGGGGACCCCGTATTCCCATTTCCCAGCCCAAATTTTGACTAAATCCCATTGTCCCAGAGCACAAATCCTATCATCTCAGTGGCTGTCCTTCTCAAATCTTAATCCCATTCCCATTTTCTATTGTTTTTTTGCTGATGAATCCCAGTCCCAGTGCATGAAATCCCATTTTCCCACCCAAAAATAAGCAAATCCCAGTTCCCATTTTACCCCTTCAGGACCCTCATAAAACTGCGCCTCGCGTTTTTTATCTGATAAAACACTCCTACTCGTATAAAGTTTGTTCGTTCACTGCAACCAGGTATATCAATCATGTTTCGCTCCCTACTCTGGTTTAAATAAATGATTACAAAGCCCAGTCGAATTGTAATCAAGACCCAACGTTTCGACACTCCAGTCTAGTGTCTTCATCAGGGGTGATTCACCTAAAACTGCGATCGTGGCTTCTTAAATACCCAAGGGATGACGTCACCTGCCAAGAAGATGCATATATTCCTCTGGCAAATAGGCGCCGTCATCCCTATTCAAAGCATGATGACTCATATTTATATGCCACGCTTCTAGGCAAAGTCTTTGACCATATGGTTTCATCACCCCTGATGAAGACACTAGACTGGAGTGTCGAAACGTTGGGTCTTGATTACAATTCGACTAGGCTTTGTAATCATTTATTTAATTAAACCAGAGTAGCGAGCGAAACATGACTCCTACTCGTGTTTTAAATAGTACATAATAAATAATGAGAAAAATATCATTCTTGAGGGCTAGGTGTCGGTGACAAAACGGAGAAAGTTCTTCATAAATAAAGTTAGTTTGGTTTAAAAATAATTGCAATAATTATTAATATCAACAATACCCTGTTGAATTTAGATTTCAAAATCACTTTCTCCAACAGAGCTGCAATTTCGTTTGTGACCAGATAGACTAACGAATCATAATTATCCGAAGCTAACGGACCCTATATACAAGTACAAGAAAAAACACTAAAACTTAATGTTTCTATATATTATAGGACAGCACATTAAAGGAACAGAAATTTTAACTTGCCTTGAAAGTGAGAAGCGAAGATTCCAAAGTGGAAATAAGATTTTGAACAAATGGATCGTTGACTTCGTAGATTGCAAACTCGTCCTAAACATAGAAACATACAGTGCAATACTTAATACGTCTTGAAAACAGGGGTGGATTTATAGGGGGTACACAGGGGTGCGCACCCCCTGTTGGCCTTGGTCAACAGGGATGCATGGGGGGTGCAAAAAATCAAATTCAGAAATAAAGGTTTTTCCTTTTTTGAAGTCATACTGAAGCTCATAATTCAATGCCCATATCGCAGGAAATGGCATTTTTAGGGTTCTAATTTTCAAAATGTTCCTGAGGGCATACCCCCGGACCCCCTAGGGAGCTTGCGTCTTCAGCGCGGAAGGCACTAGATAGGATCGACCTAAACCCCATGAGCCAACAATAACATAATATTTTATCAGCGGTATTTTAATGAACACTAGCGAATTTCCGGAATATTCAGAATTGGTTTCCGGTTTTCAAAGAGTGAAAATTTCAGCTGTGATTTTAATCTTCTTTTCCTTTGGATGAGTATTAAATATTTACGCGATCGACGGCAAGTTAAATCGGTAAGTTTTATTCTAACACACACAGTTTTACTACCTTACATAAAAGCAGAAATCTTTATTATACAATTTATCTAATTTATAATATAATCTTGACTATAAAGTAGCAATTGAAGTACAAAATGTCTATTTACATGCACTAATATACTATATATTTAATACCAGACAATGTTGTCTGATGTCACCAACCTTTACATTAATCTGCTTTAAACATATGCTAGGTCTGGTGTAGTAGAACTGGTGCAGGCTACAGTTAAATCCATCTGGATTAAATTAGACAATTCTACATTATTTAGGGTCAAGAAATTAATAAATACACCTTTGCAGTTCAATTCATTAAATAATTTGACTAATGTCTCTGCTGATTTTTCTTGTACTTACAATTTTCAGCGTTGCCCCGGGGTCGAGGAATTTGCTAATAGCGAATAAGACAAATCCCTGGGATGTTGCCCGGCCGGAGGGTTGGATGATAACAGTAGGAATTGACTCATGCATTACCATAACTATAGTGCCATTCAATCACAATTCTTGGGTTCCATATGACGTCACAAAAATGACGGGGGGGGGAGGGGTCAACTCTAAACAAAACACAGTTACCAGAGTGAGTCAATTGGAGCCATTCCCTTTAAAATTTACACCCCCCTGTTGACAAGGTTACTGATTTTAGATCCCTTCGGAAACGGTTTTCCGAAGACCCCCTCGAAAATGTGCTGTAGAACCCAGTCAAATATTGATGGATTTAAATGATGCAAATCATACAATAGATATCCTATCTGGTACTGTATATAGATCTGAAACTTTTAGCAAAGATAATGTTGTGATATTTCAAAACAAAGTTGGGAGCATTTTTTGGGACACAAGTAATAATGTGGAATTTATGCACGGCAATTTGAACTTTTGAGAGTGTAAACTAGTGCATTTATGTTAATTCTATATTAATGGTTGCTAAGTCCTTTCTAATGAGTGACTGAAGGGTGAATTAACAGTGGGATTGTCATAAATCTCTCCTCAATAGCCTGGGAGCCTCATTCTCATGAATTGTCAGCAAATTGCCTTCAATGTCTTGATTCATGAGACTCATGCGAGCCTCCCTAGCAGGCAAAGGATGTAGTCATGGTGTAATTATCAAAAGGATGTATTGTGATTGAATGGCACTATAGTTATGGTAATGCATGAGTCAATTCGTACTGTTATCATCCAACCCCCCCCCCTGGCAACATCCCAGGGATTTGTCATTTTTTATTCGCTATTAGCAAATTCCTCGACCCCGGGGCAACGCTGAAAATTGTAAGTACAAGAAAAATCAGCAGAGACATTAGTCAAATTATTTAATGAATTGAACTGCAAAGGTGTATTTATTAATTTCTTGACCCTAAATAATGTAGAATTGTCTAATTTAATCCAGATGGATTTAACTGTAGCCTGCACCAGTTCTACTAGTACTACACCAGACCTAGCATATATTTAAAGCAAATTAATGTAAAGGTTGGTGACATCAGACAACATATTGTCTGGTATTAAATATATAGTATATTAGTGCATGTAAATAGACATTTTGTACTTCAATTGCTACTTTATAGTCAAGATTATATTATAAATTAGATAAATTGTATAATAAAGATTTCTGCTTTTATGTAAGGTAGTAAAACTGTGTGTGTTAGAATAAAACTTACCGATTTAACTTGCCGTCGATCGCGTAAATATTTAATACTGCATCCAAAGGAAAAGAAGACTAAAATCACATCACAGCTGAAATTTTCACTCTTTGAAAACCGGAAACCAATTCTGAATATTCCGGAAATTCGCTAGTGTTCATTAAAATACCGCTGATAAAATATTATGTTATTGTTGGCTCATGGGGTTTAGGTCGATCCTATCTAGTGCCTTCCTGAAGCGCTCAAATCGTCAGGAAGCCAATTCATTTGAATGCTCTCCCACCACCCCCTAAAGAATTATAAAGGAACACTCGGCTGCTCACCCTGCAGCACCCCCCTAGAAAAACCTTGCTGGATCCATCCCTGCTTGAAAATTGTGGAAAGTAAAAATGTACCGGGTGTCCCTTTGATTTTATGTAATGTAAAAGCTATGAAAGCTATCGCAATGCAATAAAAATCATTGCATTCAGAAAGGACTAACTTAAATTTTGATATATAGCACTTGAATTTACATGCAATATTGACTGCGCTATTGATGTTTGAACGTTTACCACTGTTTTTGAAAATGCCAAAAATTAGCATAAAAGAACCTTTTAACTATCGTGGTAGTTATACTTGTTTTATTTTGGCTGTATCTCGCTCAATATTGCATGTAAATCCAAGCTCGAATTCAAGTGTTATATATCAAAATTTAAGTTAGTCCTTTCTGAATGAAATTATCTCTATTTCATAATTTTCATTGCGATAGCTAGCTTTTATAGCTGTTACGTTACATGAAATCAAACAGTGTGCAGCTTTTTGGGGGACACCGCGGTACTTCTTTGTAGGGATGCTGGATCAGGATAATGTCTAATATCTGGAGTCCGGTAAAAAATAGACATGCGATATAGTATCCTGGAAAATTTGGCTGACTATATACCGGATAATACTGCTACTTTTATTAAAATCATGAAACCAAAAAAAATTGATCTCTTTGTCTTTTTCGGGTGATAAGAGATTGTAGAACAGGAACAATTACTGCATACATGACATGCAGAAAATGTTTCCGAGATGTAAACTGCGCTCTGCTCTAGATTGTCCGCAGACCCATTCGCCATAGATATTTATACTTGCTGTATTATATGAAACTAGATAAAGCACATAATAATCAATGGACTATATTATGCGAAAAATAGTAAAGTATATTGAAGTACCATGCACCATTTAATATCCAGTGTCCGGTACATCCCTATTTTATTGTAGCCCACAATGAAGAATATTGGATTTCGTACCTCAGTTATATGGTGGTTTATTGACGAGAATCCATCAATTTGTGGCTTGAGACGTGGAATCACAGCTACATCTGCCAACTGTCGACAACCCAGCTAGAAATAGAGGCATTTAGTATACAGCCGTTTCAAGAGACAATGAATTATTCAAGCTATAGACTAAATTTTGATCTAAGCAAGAAGAACGAAATCCATGACCACAGCTAGAAAGAGCCCTGTAAAATAAGGAAAATATAGCCCTACGAAATTTGTAAATTTTGTATTAATTTGTATTACTCGCGGGAAAATGCACCACTTTCGGCCCAAATGTGGTGCATTTTCGCGTGCGTAATATAAATTATTACAAAATTTGCAAATTTGCGACCAAATTTTGCAATTTCACCAATTTTAACATGCTCTTTCTAGCTGTGGTGATGGATTTTGTTCTTCTTGCCTAGATCAAAATTTAGTCTATAGCTGCATGGAATTATCCATTACGCTCAATTTGAAGACATATATTATGTATATCGAATTAATAACTTAATTTCATACCTGCAGTAAGTCACGAAACACAGTGCTTGTATTAGACAAATCAGAAAGACCACTCTAATGAAATATATATAAACACTGAATGAACAAACACAAGAAAATCATAGAAAATAGTGCGAGTGTAATTTTGGTACCTGAAGTTTTCCAGACGTGTGTTCTCCGCCAGCCTGGGTACTCAGCTTTGTACACTCAACCTGAATAAATTAACATAAATTAGTTTAAAGCTTTATATTGACCAACTAACTACCAACCTACCTAAGTTACCTAACTCAATCCTCGCAATCTTCGGCGACAAAATGAAATTGTCGACGGCAATGGTTATCAAACACCCTGGGTTCGAAATAGGAAATACATATGGCCTGCCAAACTTGTTTTTTTGCATGGTGGGTCAAATAAATTATGGTCTGCCTTTTCTATTTTTGAACTGTCAAAATGGTCTTATATCTGGTATGACGTTACGGCAAACCGCTACCCAAAAATGGCAAACTGCAAATCGATTGTGTCCTCAACCACTGGACGCCATTTTGTTTTTGTAGAATTTCGCCTGCCTTTTATTTTGACTTAGCAGATCAAATCAATTTTCCTTCATATTTAACCAATTTGAGATTCCCCTTATGACGTTTTCGTAGCGCTTTGCATTGTGGTTATAGTGGTATCACTGATATTCAAGATGGCTGATTTTTTGTCCTGACCCGTGCAAGAACTTTTAAAAAAAGCTAGGGTCAGGTGCGCGATAGCCAACAGCAAAATATTCGCGAAATGATTCAATATTTTTATTCGAGCTAGGCCGCTATCTTTATCAGTGATACCACTATAACCACAATGCAAAGCGCTACGTACGAAAACGTAATAAGGGGAATCTCGAATTGGTAACTATCTACCTACCAAACTGACTCACTCGCTAACCAATCACTAGCTAACCACGTCTTTATAAACTAACGATTCTTACATCTAAATCTCGTTTTAATTTCTGAATATTTTCACAAGTGGCGTGAAGGTTGTTCAAAGTTACCTAAAGTAACGAAATGCAATAAATTAGTTGCAGATTTATTACTGTGATATATTACGTGATTGCAGATTTAAAACAACTGTAATAGTAAACTGAAAGTCATCGTTCTTACGAGAAATGCTTTTCTTGCAGCAGCGGTGTCAGCACTCGAAGATAACCCTGCCTGTAGTTTCCCTTGGAATACGCCTGCGATATCGAGACTATACAAGCAAGAGATACATCAATATACAATCCACATTGACCACTATGGCTGATGAACCCTAAATTTCAAGACTTTTAAAGTGAATTAAGTCGTACCTTCCCGAAGGAAAACCTTGTTTGATTTTTTGCTGAAGAACACCTTTGTAATCCGTATCCAACAACGTACTGAAACAAATGTGAATTTTTTATAATGATTATAGCAGTTACTGAGCTCGCTGCCTCGTACCGCCGAGTAAAGTCTGCAACTAGGGTGGGGGAGGGGAGGTGGGGGTGGGGGTAACGGGTGGGAAGATAACTATTAATCAAATCATGGTATTTAGGCCTAAAAAATACCTGTGGTTCAGGTTTTACATCGCGAAAAAATTAGGGTCGGTAGGTCGGAAATAAATTTTTTAAAAATATTTTTTCATGGTTTTTTCAATAATTAGTGTGACAAAACCAACACCGCGGAAAAACGTCTGCGCATGCACCAAATTATGAAAATATGGCGGGGAATTTGAATATCAATTTCTAAAACAAAAACATTCTTATTAATTGGTTAAAAATTAGTAAAACAAACGAGAAAATATAGCAAATGGGTAGACTAGACATTAATTGAAAGCGTCCTGGCATTTAAAGTATGGAATGAAATAGAATTCATGTAAAAAATTGTTGATTTTAACGGACACGACTTCGAAAATTTTTGCAAAATTATTCAAAACAAAAATTCAAACTCAAAAGTTAAGAAAACTCTCGAAAAGTTAAGCTTCTTAACCCACTCAAATTGTAGAATAAATCCTAAAGTTTAATTAATGTGAACACGAAAATTTTTTATATTTGGCGACACAGTTTTTTTTAAAGAAATGTATCTTAAACGAAAATTCGGAAATTGTCGTTGCTTAGTTGATAAACAAAATGTTTCAGACGATAAATTAGTCAACAATCACCTTTAGTTCATGTTCTTGTACAATATAACTTCTTGAACCTTCTGGCTGTATTTATTCTTAGTTTTCAGAATGACATGTTTATTTTTACGCTCGAAATCTGGCTGTAAAGACACACAATGAAGTCACTCCTTTTTACCGCCATTTTGAGCTTTCGGAAACGTTCGGAACAGCTTCTCATCAAGTTCGCAATACTATTACAGGTAAGATTGACGCATGCGCAGACGTTTTTCCGCGGTGTTGACAAAACCTATGGACAAAACAGGTGGGCAATTTGTCTGCGCATGCGCGAAGAAAATCAATATGGCGAAATATACTAGGAGTGTTTCGTGAATTTATTTATTTAATTTATTTAATAAGATTCGGCTACTATTTAAATGCAACATATAGAGCCAGGGAATTCGCCACAGGTTTCCCCAATTACGGCGATCCCATATAAACAAGAATAAAATTACTGTACAAAACAAATTTTCAAGCAACTCAACAAGCTAAAACTAATAAGGCTAACAACAACTTATTTCTTTGTTAAGCGATCTTGCTCTTTTGCACTTTACACACACTGATTTCCAGGTGCGCGGATCGTCACATTTGAATGTTTTGGATAGTGCATGTTTGTAGTAGAGTTTAAGACCTGATTTAAAAGACAGCAAACCTATATCTCTAGTACGCAAGTTACTATCTAATATGTTCCACGTTTTGCAAGTATTCTTATAAAAAATGAGGTCTGGAATGTTACGGTTTTCGCATAAGGAATAACAAATCTAATTAGGTTTGCGTTGGATTCACTTCTTGTAATTCCTGATCCAGCCATGATCGGTAGAACACGTTCGTCAATGTACGTAAGACTGTTGATGATCTTGTAGAGGAACACCAGATCTAAGTATTCGTGCCAATATGAGACAGGTAATATGTCAAGCTGAAGGAGTCTTGTCTTGTAAGAAATGTCTGTGATAAACCCAAGATTCAATATGTATTTAGTTGCTCGTCTCTGCACTTTCTCAACGTCCTCAATAAGTTTCACTGACTGAGGACACTAGGCTTGGGTTGCATAGGAAAAGTTACTTCGCACTAGTTGAAGGTACAGAAGCCTTCTCGCGTTGGTATCCGTTATCTCCAAGGTAGAACGTCGGATTAACCCGAGCGTTTTGTTGGCTTTTGACCGAACTTTGTTGATCTGAACATTCCATAATAGTTTCGAACTGATCGTAATGCCCAGATCGGACTCTACATCAGAAGACAATAATTGGTGATCGCCAAGTGCATATGGGTAAATTAAGGGAGACTTCCTTCTTGTGATAGACAACACTTTACACTTCGATTTGTTAAAGCTCAACATGTTCTCATTTGACCAACAATGGAGGCTTTGAATATCCGATTGCAATGCCAGTGCATCGTTACGATTTTGCACACATCTGTGCAGTTTGGTATCATCAGCATACAAACCGACCCCAGTAGAAATGGATATGTTATCGGGCAAATCGTTAATGTACACCGAGAAGAGGAAGGGAGCCAGCAATGAACCTTGTGGGACTCCGGATGTTATTGGTAAGGAAGTAGATGACGCACCGTGAACAGTTACTCGTTGACAGCGACCTGATAGATAGTTTTCAAACCACAACAAAAGAGAGCCAGATAGACCGAAATCGCGAAGTTTTTGTAACAGTTTGGAGTGGTCAACGGTATCGAGCTATTATGATTGTTTCATTATAAACACTGGAATGCTCATACTGCATGGATGGTTGTACAATAAGCAAAATTTGCCTTAGTAAAGTAAGCCACTAAAGCCAGTATCTCGGCTGGCTTGCATTACATATAAACATC